TTCTTCATTATTATTATTATTATTATTATTATTATTATTATTATTATTATTATCTAATATATCTGCAATTAAGGCCACCCCTTTAAAGAAAGAAAAAATGCCCAACATTGATGGGAACTTGGTTACATACATTCACATCTCACTGATTTGCAGGGAAGAGTTTCCTGTTATACAAATACAGATAGTCCTTGACTTACGACCGCAATTGAGCCCAAAATTTCTGGTTGCTAAGCAACTCATTTGTTAAGTGAATTTTGCCCCATTTTACAACCTTTCTTGCCACGATGGTTAAGTGAATCACTGCAGCTGCCTTTTGAAAAAGCACCTTTGAGACAACCATGACCTGGAGGACAGAGAATCTCCATAGAAATGGCAAAAAAGGTAATAAAATGAGATACGACTCCCTTAACAAATGCCTGGCTTAGAAATGGACCTTTTGCTTTCACCGTGGTCATAAGTGGAGGACTAGCCACACACTGTGCTCTTCTAGCCTCTGCCCCTCTCTTCTTCAGCTTCTGGGCCCGCTTGCTTCACGAAGCTTCGCAAGGCAGCACTTGAAATCTATCCAGCTATGGTGGAATCCTGAGAGGAGTTCCTGTCTGTTCTCCTGAAGGCGCTTTGGGCCTCGGCTCTCAAGGTCGTTGCATCACACGGGGTGAGTGTCCCTGCTGTGGATTACATACGTGAGCGGCTTCCATCATCTTCTGCTCCTTCGAGTTCTTGACAGCCTTGGAGAGCATGACAGGAGAGAAGTCGTCTTCTAAGAGGTTTTCCTGTGAACAGGAAAGTGGGAATTTAGAGTGGAGTAGAGTGGAATAGAATGGAATGGAATAGAGTAGAATAGAATAGATTAGAGTAGAATAGAGTTAGAAATAATAGAATAGAATGGAATGGAATGGAATGGAATGGAATGGAATAGAATAGAATAGAATAGAATAGAATAGAATAGAATAGAATAGAATAGAATAGAATAGAATTAGAAAATAGAATAGAATTAGAAAATAGAATAGAATTAGAAAATAGAATAGAATGGAATGGAATAAATAGAATAGAATAGAATAGAATAGAACAGAATAGAACAGAACAGAATAGAGAGTGGAGTGGAATGGATGGAACAGAACGGAATGGAACAGAACAGAACAGAACAGAATTCTTTATTGACCAAGTGTGATTGGAATTTGTCTCCGGTGCATAAGTTCTCAGTATACACACATATAACAACAAAGTGATAGATCCTAAATTATAGTTAACAATCAGTAAAGATACAAACAACAAGTGATAAATCATAAGATACCAACAGGAAAAGATAGTAGGAAAGATGAAAAGATGAGAAAGATGACAATAGCAATACAGCCTACTACAGGGGTAAATTTCATAGGCCTAAGACAGCGCTGTGGGAATTAGAGCAGTTTCTTGAGCTACGCACCTGTAAATGCACAGCTGGCCACAAGCCATCACTGGGATCTTGACATAAAGAGCATGGCAGGACGATAGTTAGAATGCTGTATTGCTGGCTAACTCTGCCCGCTGCCAGGAGTTCGATCCTGATGGGCTCAAGGTTGACTCAGCTTTCCCTCCTTACAAGGTTAGCAAAATGAGGGCTCAGATTGTTGGGGGCAATATGATGATTCCGTAAACCGCTTAGAGAAGGCTGTAAAGCACTCTGAAGTGATATATAAGTCTAAGTGCTATTGCTATTGGTTATGTTTCATTTCTGGTCAGTTTGATTCTGGGATGGAGCACTTCCTACAAGAGCTTTTGCTGCTATATGAATCTCAGAAGTTCTGTAACGTTCCTCTGTTGGAGCTTCATATAGGATAGCTTGTCCCAGAAACTCAATAAGAAAAACTGGGAAAAAGTTTAGCAGATCTATAGGAGGCTCATTCAGGGATTAAATATCAGCCAACTGTATCACTCACGACAGCAAATTCCATTAATCGGTTGCATTGATCTGCGCTGTTTTTTCACATTTCACTTTTTAAAATTTCAGCAGTGAACAGCAGCACTGATATCTTTCCTTGTCATGATTCTGGAAGATTCATGATCTAAGGGATCAGTGTTAGGAAAAAGGAAGTGGAGTAAAGCTCTCCTTAAGTGGATATCAAGCATTTATTCTTTTTTTTCCCCTCCTCCTAGAAATTAAGAATTACATTTGCCTTGCTTTGCACTTAGGAGCATGGTGCAAACTGTAGCACAGATCCAATTCTTTATTATTATTTTGTAATTGCTGATGGCCCGATGTAATCATGGATATGTATTTGTTAGTTATCTTCTTCTAGTTGCACAATTTGTTCTTCTAAGATGATGTTGTGATTCTGCTTAAATCCTGAAAAAACTGTTGTTGGGTTCAACAGTTGTTAGAAGAAATACATAATAGGTGAGGAGCAGTTAGGAGATAATCTCCCTATAATCGTGGGAGAAACCGTAGGATTATAGTAGGGTGGGAAGAAGAAGAAGAAGCTTATGTTTCCTTTTACTCTCCTCTCTTACTTGAGGGATCTCCTTGTAAAGCCCCAGAGTTGTGTACTCGGTTCCGATCCAGATGATCACCCCATCTTGGCGGACATATTTTCTCAAGCTGGCACCTATCTGGTCATAGTCTTCCACCTTCACACACGGAGATTCTGGACACTCTGCTGTCAACATCTGGAGTGCTTCTTTGCTCAACCGACTCCGGTTTGCAAATAGACTGGGGGACAAACGAAAGGAAACTGAAATGTCCAATTGGAAATGAGTTTAATAGGGGAATTGTAGCCTTTCTCATGGTTGGCCAGCTCCATCTCCCAGCATCTTTCACCATTGGCCATGCTGGCTAGGCTGCTGGGAGTTGTGATCCAGCATTCATAGGAGAGCCCCAGTGACACCTCTGGAAGTCTTCATTTCCAGCCCACTATTGTCCCATGGGCTGGAGAGTAGCATTTCCTGGCCACGCTTCTTCCTTTTAGCCTTAAAACCCCTTTGCCAATTAGGCACAGTTAAGAGTTGATGATTGACATAACATCAACCCACTGAATTTTGGCCATGGCAGGCTTTCGGCCCACTTCTTGCAGTTTTCAACCTCTGACGATCAACTAAGAAGAAGACAAATGGGCTTCTCCCAGATTCAAAGGCATTTCCACTACTATTCTCCAAGCAGCGAAGAAAAAAGGCTTAAGTCAGCTTTTTTTTCAACTCAGTCCGTTCCAGATACGTTGAACTACAATTCCCATATGGACAAAGGACCTTGGAACTTGTAGTGCAAAACATCTGGAGGACATCAGGTTGACACAGGCCTCTCTTCCCCCACATTTGTTTTGCTATTCGCTGAATATATACACAAATGTAACATTAATGATTGTGGATCCTTCATTTATTTTAAAATCTCCCCATCTGCGCTCTCCTAAACAGCGGAGTTATTTTAACACAAAGCCCTATTGGGCAAACCCAAAGCACTCCCTCTTCCCTCTCATGCCTGTGAGTTCAAATGTAAGATGCACGCTTGCTTTCAAAGACACAAAGTTCACACCCTATAAACATGGCTCTTTTCCCATTCCCGCCATGGTTTTACAAGTTCTGTAATTCATTTCCTCCTTGAGAACATAAGCCTTGTCTCGCCAGATCAGTCCAGAGTTCTAGGCTGGTTCAAAGTACCAGCTGGTTTCAAAGGTCCAGCTGGCACTTGGATTCCTCGGTGTGCACCCAGCCAAGAGGCTCTGGAAGCACATGTGGGCCAACCCTTTTTTTTTGTCTCTAGTATTAGTTCAGTTCCCTGGCAGTTGAGAAAAATGCTGTCTCTAAATGTGGACATGTGATCTCTTTGTTCTGACATTCTTGTATCCTGTGCAAAGCAACATTTAACTTGGAGTCAAGGCTCTTAACCAGGGATATCCAACCTTGGCAACCTTCAACTCTTAATATTCTCCAGCCAGCATAGAGAATTCTGGGAGTTGAGTCCACAAGTCTTAAAGTTGCCAAAGCTGGACGACCTTGCTCCAAGGCCTAAAATCTGATGATAGCCTCATGATGTTCTCCTCGATTTTACAAGGCTTCAAGACTTCTATGGAGATCCTCAGTCATCCAGGTCATGGTTGTCCCAAAGGTGCTTTTTCCAGGAGGTCCCTGGTTTTTCTTTGAAGACATCCAGGAAGCTTCTTCAGCTCTGACTAGTCCAGTGTTTCTCAACCTTGGCAACTTTACGATGTGTGGACTTCAACTCCCAGAATTCTCCAGCTAGTGTCGCCAGCTGGAGAATTTTGGGAGTTGAAGTCCACACATCGTAAAGTTGCCAAGTTTGAGAAACACTGGACTGGATGGTGGGGAAGGGAAGGACTGCAAGAACTCTGCAAGCAATATAAACCCTCCCATTGCCCACCATCCAGTCAGAGCTGAAGAAGCTTCTTGGATGAGAAGCGAAATGTCTTCAAAGCAAAACAAGGAAGTCCAGTGGCCTCCTGAAAAAAAGCACCTTTGGGACCAGGCTTTCAGACATGCACCAAGAACATGGTTATTCCCTCAATTTTACTACAGAAATCCAGAGAGGATTACCATGACCTCAGCAACTCCAGTATGTCCATGTGACTCTGCTCAGAAGAGGGATCTGAGGGAACTTAAGGGAACCTGAAAGATGCCACGGGATGAAAAAGTCTTCAGAAAACAAAGGAGATGGTGAAGAAGGCCCTTCTCTCTCCTACAGACAGCCCAACGATGTCCGAGCATGCTGATTTGTAGGGGCGGAGATGGAAAAATCAAAAGAAAACCAGAATGGGAGGAGAAAGGAAAGGAAAGGAATGGAAAGGGGGTGGCTGGTTGGACCCTGGCCACGTTTTGTGGGAGCTCCCACTTACGATGGGAACCAGACTGTTGTCTCAATCGTTGCAGGGAGATCAAGTACCTGATATCTGTCTTGGTGAGAAGAGTGTAGGCATAGAAGACGGGGGTGTAAGGAATGTCATCTCCTCGAAGATTGAAGAGCCCTAAGGGAAAACAAAACAGACCGTCTCTAATATTTCCCTCAGAAAACCAGGAGAGCCACTGAAGCAATTAAAGGAAGAGAGGAGAGCAGAAGAGGAACAGGGAAGCAGCCAAGGACACCCGGGGGAGCCAGGAAGAAGAGCTTGAGACATGGCTGGGAAGACGAGGCAACTAGAACAGTTGCTGAGTGAGTTTTGCCCCATTTTACAACCTTCATTGCCATAGTTGTTGAGTGAGTCGCTGCAGTTGTTCAGCTAGTAACTCGGTTGTTAAGTGAATCTGGCTTCCCCCATTGACTTTGCTTGTCAGCAGGTCTCAAAAGGGAATCCGGGAGACTGTGATATAGAGAAGGAAGGAAGGAAGGAAGGAAGGAAGGAAGGAAGGAAGGAAGGAAGGAAGGAAGGAAGGAAGGAAGGAAGGAAGGAAGGAAGGAAGGAACACACATGCACACACACATATATAAATATATAAAGAGAGAGACATTGATAGAGATATATAGTTAAATAGAGAGAAAGAGAAAGGAAGAGAGGGAGAGAGAGAGAGAGAGAGAGAGAAGGGAAGGGAAAGAGGGAGAGAGAAGGAGAGAGAGAAAAAGGGAAAGAGGGAGAGACAGAAGAAGAGAGAGAGAGAGAAAGAGAGAGAAAGGAAGAGAAAGGGAGAGAGAATGGAAGAGAGAGAGAGGAGAGAGATAAAGGAAGAGAAAGAAGGAGAGAGAGAGAGAAGAAGAGAGAGAGAAAGGAAGAGGGAGAGACAGAGATGATAGATATTAACTGACTTACATGCCGTCTCCTCAAGGCCAGAGAGCAAAATTGCTGTGGGCTTCTTGCTGTGTTCCTCCATCTGCCTCCGAGCACTGGCAATCTTCTCTTGCCAGGTACTTCCTAAAGGAAGAAAAGGTCATAAGAATGGGAGGTCTGACTGATGAAAATGTCAATCTCCAGGCCTCCACTAGAAAACAACATCCAGTTTGGCCCAAGAGAAAAATACAAAAAGAAAAAAACCCTTTTTCTTAGGGCCTGCAGTGATGCTTCCATTAAACAGCAGGACTGATAGACGGCCAATTTAAGGTGAGGAGGATTGCCCTAAGACCACTTTTCTCAAATTAAGGTGTTTCAGAAATATTGCAGGAGAAGAGCAGACAGAGCTGGGGGTGGGTGTGGGTGGAGTTAAATGTGTCATCAGTTTAAAGCCCTGATGTTGCCACAAATGATCCAAGCCCAACCCAAAATCCAACTTCTTTTGAATTTTGTTGATCCTCATCTGTCACCAATTTATTACTGAACCTTAGTTGATTTAGACTCTTGAGTACAGGCTTGAATAAATCTTCTGTACCACAACTTAAGGAATGGTCCTCATACTTCGTGCCTGACAAATATTGAACTGCAAACATCCTTCGTCTCCAGTCAAGATGGCCCAGTCTCCACACCAGTCTCCCCTCGTCGCTTTGTTTGTGCCCCAAATATACCCATGAAGTCATCTGCGAGGCGATAGATTGTGTTGGTGGGTGGAGGAAGCCGCTCGCTGCCCCACACGAGGTCCACCAGGTTAACTTCCAGGAAATCCAAGGTCCTATTTGTACCTTCCAGTACCTGGTGATAGTTGAGCCAAGTATCTAGGGAAAGAGAACAGGAAGGAGAGATCGTGAAACATTACAGCAGAATGGCTATCGTCAGCCAGAAGACTGGGAGATAAGGGAAATCATAGCAGCTGGCAACTATTTAAGCTGCTAGAGCAGGGCAGTGAGGTAGCCTCATCTTCCTTGGTGGACTGGCCCTCGCCTCCTTGAGCCTGCCCCAATGTGCCCAAGAAACTCCAAAGATGCTTCATACCAACAGAAAAGAGGAAGGGATCCAATCCAATGGTTTCTCCGGCGGGAACTTCCTTGAGTATCCATTGCCCAATGGAGTTAATCCACACTGCAAAAGAAAGAATATTTGGTGAGCCATGCCCTCTTTCTGTAGATTAGCAGAAGGACTAGATCAGGGGTAGGCAACCTTGGGTGGCTCAGGAATTCTGAGAGTTGAAGTCCACGAGCCATAAAAGAGCCAAGGTTGCCTACTTCTGGACTAGATGGTTGCAAGCACGGACCAACGCGGCAGGAGCTGACTCCCATTTCAATGTCCACCAGAGCTAGCCCATGGGAAGGACCATGGAACAGCCATTGACCTCTGGCTGAGCAGTCAGAAGACCCAGGTCTGATTTGTAGGCCTTCCAGGGAAAGCTGGTAAACTGCCATCAACGTAAGCAATACTGAGTTAGAGAAACCAATGGTCTGATTCAAGAGTTAGAAGCTATTTTCTACAGTCTTATGGTAAAAAGGCAGAAAATGAGAGCCTTCTTGATTAATTGTGGTGCCCCTTAGCGACAGACCCAAAAAGGTGAATGGATTAGACAAGTTCAAAGCCAGAATGAGTTATCAGCACCGCCAGCTTCACCTCCCAAGATTCTTGCAGTCTCTTCCTACAGAGGCTGCCTATTCTCCTGGTTGTGGTTAATGGTCCATCTTCTTTCCTGAGGTTCCAACTGCTGAAGGAGAAGGAGCTGTCCCATACTCCGTTGCTTTCTTCTATTCTGGGAGTTGAACTTGGTTTGGATCAGAGGGCCTAACAAATGAATGGCAAAGCAGCAAAGAAAAAGAAGAGATGGCCTTTTGCTCAAGAGAACTCTACAATGAGAGCATTTGGCCCATAATATCTCAAAAGGAGCACGATCCAGTTGACGTCCAGACTTTTTAAAGTTGCCAAGCACTTTAAACACTGTCCTAACGCCATTTTCTCCAAACTTCTTTTCTTTGGATGTGTTGGGAATCACATCTCTCAAAATCCCCTAGAGAGAAGACTAGGGGATTCTTGTTCTGCAGCTTCTGCAGTGGTCCTTGACTCTTCATTCCTTCAAAGACACAATATCTGTATTGGAGCCAATCATGTAGTTTACAACAAAGCATCTGTTTCTTGCTTTACTTATGCTACCCCCAGCTATGTTGTCTCAGCGACATCAATGGTACCCACCTCACATTTGTCTTCTGGCTAGGAGATTCTGAAAGCTGTGGTCCCAACACATTTGAAGGAAGGAAGTTTGGAGAAGATTGCTTTAGGATTGTGTTCCTAAACCCTGGCAACTTTGACACGGGTGGACTTCAAATCCTAAACCCGACAAACACTGCTTTAGGATATCGCTTTCCTGGCCAAGAGGTAATGGGCAGCACTGGAGCTGAAAAGAGAGGATGTGAAGGTTTAAGACAAAGTTAAGAAGAAGACAAACCAGATTTCTGCAGCTCCCAGTTGCAGTCCATCTGGCGTTCAGCCTGGATCCAATAGCGGCTGTCCGTGAAGAGAACGGCTTTCTGCAGAGTGATCACGCCAGTCCCTAAGGATTAAATGCTAAAATCAGAGGCGCTGAAGACAAAAATCTATTTGAAAAACAACATTTTTTTTAACATTTAGCTTGTTTTTTCAAATTTTATTTATAATACAATTAAAAACAAACAAACATTGGATTTGACGTGACATTCCAGTATATACATTCTTATCAGATTATTCCACTTTTTACAATCAATTCTTCATCTCTACATGTACATCTAAGTTTTATATACAATACTTGTTCTAAAATAACATATATTTCTATCTTAACATTCATCTTTAATCCCGACCGTCCTCTTCAAATTCCTCCAGCGGTAAAATTTATCCCAGGTTTCGTAATAAACTGATCCACATTTGTCTTTTAATATCATTGTGAGCCTGTCCATTTCCGCACATGCTAATATTTTATGTATTAACTCTTCCTCTGTGGGAATTTCCTTGCTCTTCCAATTTTGAGCAAAAGCAAGCCTAGTTGCAGTCAGGATGTGTAGCAGCAAGTAGATTGTTCCCTTGTTGTATTTTTCTGTCATTATTCCCAACAAGAAGAGTTCAGGTTTTGACTCTAAGTTCAGTGTTAATATATCCCTCAACCAGTTTTCATGGCTTTTTCCCAGGATGTTGTTTTCTGTTGGTAACGAAGGGACATGCTGCGTAAACTTCATAGCATGCGAATCTTTATTATAAATTAAGATTTTGGGGCCTCAATTGAGAGTAGGTGCTCAACTCCTTGAAATCCAGCTCCCAAAGAAGGTGGGAATATTTTGCCAATTAATACTATGAATGAGTTTTAAATCTCCAGTGCGCCTTTTCTGAAATCTGCTAATGTCAGACTAGCGAAAGCTGCCGAGACATTTTTAGTTTACGTACATATTGGATGACAGATGTGGGAAATTACATGTGGGAGGTTTATGTCTCCTTTTGTTGATTTTTTTTTTTTAAGAAAATGCACAGAGTGGGAACGCATCTAACACACTTAAGCATCTTGAACACATTAAATATAGCCGTGGCGCTGCAGTTCTGCCGAGGCAAGATTCAGTAAGAAAGAGCTTTTCATTATTATTATTATTAATTTGCATAAAGGCATTTGTTCTTTTTCTTTCTTAGACATAATCATAATTCACTCAGGGGATGGAGTAATCTGACGTTACATTTATCCTGGGATTGGAGACGAGCCATTGCAAGCCCAGCAAAATGGCTTTTGTGTATCCAACGCAGCAAAAAAAAAATATGATCTATGTTGCTCAGCCTTGCCCTGGAATTAGGGTGCAACTGCACTATTTTCAAGGAAGTTACAACGGTAAGAATGTTTGAGCGGGATGTACAGATCACACTTTATTTTTTTCTGAATTCATAGTTCCTTACGACCACAACGGAGCGGAAAATTTCTGTTGCTCAGTGAGGCGGTTAAGTGAATTTTGCCTCGTTTTATGACTTTTCCTTGCCACAGTTAAATGATTCCTTGCAGTTGTTAAAGTTAGTAACCTGGTTGTTAAGTGAATCCGGCATTCCTCATGGACTTTGCTTGTCAGAAGATTTCAAAAAGTGATCATGTGATCCCGGGACTCTGCAACCGTCGTAAATATGAGTCAGTTGCCAAGCATCCGAATTTTGATCACGTGACCTCGGGGATGCTACAAGGGTCGTAAGTGTGAAAAACCATCATAAGTCACTTTTTCCGGTGCTGTTGTAACTTTGAACGGTCACTAACTGAACTGTTGTAAGTCAAGGACTACCTGTATTTAATCACTGGCGGGCATTCAGGACAGCTGCTATTTTGATTCCTGAGCATCAGCTAAGAAATTTAGGGTTTGAAGGTGGCTGGAAGTCTGGGAGAGGACTCACCTTCTGATCCTGAAAAGCCCGTCATCCAACGGAGTCTCTTGTCCCGTTCTGCGACATATTCACTCTGGAAGATGGGAAGGTTTTCAGAAACAAGAGATGGCCCCTGGCTGCCTTATGCAAACATCATCCCAGGCCTATCTGCATTCTTCGCTTTTCGGAAAACCCAACACTGTTCTCCAAGCTTGTTTTAAAATAATTTCTGAACCTTTCGTTATCAAACTAGGTCACATCATCAACAGGATGTTCTTGTCTTGTTCTCCTTAGCTCACAAATGTCTTGTGTGCCAGTGTGGTCCGTTGGTTGTGGGATTGGCTGTTTGTTTGGAGTTATGTTTGTTTCCCCCCCCAAAAAAAGCCAATCGCACAACCAACGGACCACACTGGCACACAAGAGCTAAGGAGAACAAGACAAGAACATCCTGTTGATGATGTGACCTAGTTTGATAACGAAAGGTTCAGAAATTATATTAAAGTAAGCTTGGAGAAATTTAAAACCCGAGCTACAAGTATTTTCTATCGTTTCAAACTCAACACTGTCTTAGTAGACCATGTGAGCAATCTTTTGTAGCCAAGCCTAGCTCTCTACGTGGACTTCCTAGAAGGGCAAAAGCTGAGTTATGCCAGAAATTGGAATTTGGGGTTACATCAGGGCTTCCTGTCTATGGAGATTCTCAGTCACCCAGCCATAATTGTCCCAAAGATGCTTTTCCATGAGGCAATTGGACTTTCTTGTTTTTCTTTTGAAGATGTTTTGCTTCTTATCCAAGAAGCTTCTTCAGCGCTGACTGGATGGTGGGGAGCTTCTTGGAGGAGAAGCGAAACATCTTCAAAAGAAAAACAAGAGAGTCCAGTTACCTCGTGGAAAAGCATCTTTGGGATGATCAGGGCTTCCTCTCCTGTTCCTGCATATTTACCACTTGAGTAACTGTTTGTTCTGTAAGGAAGATCAATGCTGAAGGCTTCAACGCTGAGCCTACAAGTTGTTCATCCCATGGCAGAAGTTCAACCATGATTAGGGCTCTATTTCCTTGCCTCACTGCTCCATCCCTGGATCAGGTGGAGCTGTTCCTGTCTTCTTTAACTTACCAGGTGTGCATCTGTGTTAGGCACAATATAGGCTGACAGCTTGTGGATTTTCATGTGCTCACGTAGGGTCTTCAGCCGCTCATCCGTCACAATAACTGTGGGAGGCAAGTACTTACAGCACAGCAAAACATGGCAGCAGGGGGTTAGAAGAAGGAAGAGAGGGATAGAGAAGTTAGCACCTGTATGGTTACCTTTGTGTATAACCACCACCCGGCTGATTCTGGAAAGCTAAACAGGATCAGAGTTATTTAGGACTTGAGGGTGACAGATCAGGAGAAAATCCCAGGGTGAGATTGGGAAGTTAGAGAAGGATGAACCACCAATTCTGTTTCCTTGTCATAAAAAAATAACCTGGCTTATGAACTGCAAGACCCATCCAATCAGTTGGGTAGGCAGGCAGCATACAAATGATGGTCAATAAATAAATACAACATGAAGTCTAGGAGCTGAGCTAGGGATTGAGAAAGGGTCTTGGCTTTTTATGAAAAGAATGCACAGCTTCAGGGTTGATTGCCTTCCATATTATTTTTTTTTAAAATAGGCTTGATATGGTAGTGTTCAACAGAATAATAATAACTTTTGCCCTTTTGTTTCTTAGAAGTTCGGGCATGGGTGTTCACAGGGTATGTAGGTGGGTGGGTGGTCCAAGAAAGAAAAATGGTGGACCCAACCCTGTGATCAAAGGCCCAAAGAACCCCATTAAAAGGTGTAGGGTCCTTCCTTCTTTCCTTTCTTCTATAACAGACAGCCATAAACCAAATATGAACACAGAGCTTCAATTGTGTGGTTTGATTTTCATCTTATCTATCTGTCTGTCTGCCTGCCTGCCTGCCTGCTTGCCTGCCTGCCTATCATCCATCTATCTATCTATCTATCTATCTATCTATCTATCTATCTATCTATCTATCTATCTATCTATCTATCTATCTATCCATCTATCCATCTATCCATCCATCCATCCATCTATCCATCTATCATCATCCATTATGCTGCCCATATCCCCTACAAGGTAACTCCGGGTAGCTTACAGGTTATAAAACAAGTAAAAAAATAATTGAAAGGTTAAAACAACACAAAGTTAAAAAGATTTTAAGTTCACTTTTCTGACCCTCTGTCTGTGGACACCCTTGATTTATAGAAAATAGATGTTTAAGCCTTCTTTTACCAGTCTAACACAACTTTTTACTATCGAAACTGTCAAGACGAAGACATGGAGAGACGTGGCTGAAAATGGGGATTTTTGCCCCCAAATTTCTTTGGCATCATCCTGGGAGGACTTGGGAGCTATGAAAGTGGGGCTGGGTTGCCTCTTCCAACCGATGCTCGGGCATCGGAAGCTGCCAAAAACTTATGTTTTAGAGAAGCCATTCTAACGTATTAGTAGAACAAACATTTTGAGTAAAGTTCAGGAACTCACCGGTGGATTAATGGTACAGTTTCTTATGTCTTCTGGCACGGAGCGTGCTCGCTTAGGATAACTTGTGATGCAGCCTAGGATGGAAGGAGAAACCTCTTATACAAGCAAGCTTTCTTTGGATGGCTTGAACGGTCAAATTGCCATCCAGCCTTGCAAACGTGTCTTTTTCATTATTCCCATTTGTCAAGACTTTGGATGGGGAGACTACCCACACGTTTCCCATTGCTTCTCTGTAAATAAAAGGACCAGACCCAGGTCCAGTTCCTGGATGGAAAGGGCCAAGTGTCCTCCAGCAGATTGAGGATACACCCTTCAAGTTTTTCTGGGGACAATAAGAGACACTCGTGTTCTGAGCCACCCTCATGTCATCAATGAAGTTTGAGAAGGTACATCCTTAAGATAAAACTGGCACCATTTTAATTTCCCACAATGACCTGGAATGAAGCTTCGTCAAAGCATTGTGGAAAATCAGCAGGGCATTGAATCCGCCTGCCCAGTATTACTCAAAGCCTCTGGTCAGTTTAGGGGGAGATTTTTTTTGTCATGAGGAGACTCTGGCACAGTGTTTCTAAAACTCAGCAGCTCTAAGATGTATGGACTTCAACTCCTGGAATTCCCCAGCCAACATTTTGCTTAATATGCCCTGCAGACCTAAAATCTAGACACCCCAATTCATTGCTGAGCTCAGATACAGATGCAATCAAGACAGCAAAGATATAGTTTTCAACCATCACAAGAAGTGATGACAGTGATTTCACTTGGCAATGTGGAAAGGACGTTGCTTGGATGTCATTCTTACTGCTGCTATTCTCACCTCCAAATCTAATAGGTTCCTAACTTTCCTGATGCCCTCTTAGAATCTGGAGTTCTGATCAAACCCAATTTTGATCCTGACTGCAAGAACTGCTGTAAAGAAAAGGACTAGTAACATCCAATTCAGTAAAAAAAGAGTCGCCGTAAATGTACATGTTGCACGTTTTAATGTTATTCAGTGTGTTGGAACATATGTTGCTCTCTTTTGATCTGACCTTGTTTGCTACCGCAACATTTGAACATCATTTCTCCTTAGCAAGTTATTGAGTCAATTGCAATCTGAAGACTAACACACCTTAATATGGTGAACGTTTTAGCAGCTTTAGAAACATTAGAAAAGTTTTCAAAACAAATTAGGATACTACTCCACCTTCAAGATATACAGCGGTCAAGGCTGGTCACCTTATTGTACCAGTCAAGGCAAAACATTCCATCAAAGTTTCTCTCAAGTTTCCTTTCTTGGCAGTGGCAAATACTATATTAGTGGATCAAATACGCCCCAGTTTTCTGACAATGTACTGTAACTAGCCGTTAAATCTCACCTAATGATAGGGCTAGCCCTGCCAGAATTATATGCAAAGTTTAGCAAAGTTGGACCTCCTCCAGCCTTAATTAGTTTGGACTCTGGACTTAATATCATTAAGAGATAATTTGTATTCCTCCACTTCAAAATGGGATAAAATAGCCCTATCAGTCTCTGTTGTCCCAGAGGATTCTGATTAGCTATGATTGGTTTCATATTAACAGTACGTCCATATTGCAGATAAGGGAACCACATTTCCCCAAACTCCATGTCTTTCTGCTTTGTCCTTTGGAGTGAACCTAAGCAAGACTTTTCCCATGGTCCCCAGATCAGGAGATCCTGCAGAACTAAGAAAAGGGGATGAAAGCGACGAAAAAGCACCCCATGCAATGTGCAGCAGGTGCCCAGCAAAGAAACCTTACTGTTAGTTGCTATGTTGTCGATCAAATCAACCCTAGAGGAGTCCTTCCAGTTTTGTTGTACTCACCATACCACTGAGGTCATGAGAACATTCTCTCGGTTTCACAGTTTCGGGAAAGAGTATCCCGGTCTCAAACCATCATACATACCATGAAGGGAGAGCAAAATCCAGGCTCGTAGGAGGGAAGAAACAGAGGCCATGTCCTTCCTCAGCCCAGTGATGTTGCCAAGAAAGTAATCTCAAGAAGAGGTTAGTCTATCAACCAGGTGAGAGTCCAACCTTGCCAACGTCGGAAAGGCGGAAGAGCAGTCCAGGACAGTCCAAACAGCCTTCCAGATTATCTGGCTTGTGATGCCTCTCTTTCTCTTCTCTCCAATAAAGCAAATAGCATGTGACAGAGATGCAAAGTTCAAATTTCAGCGTCGGAAAGGGATCTGTTTTTTTCTGGAATGTCTGTGCTTTTACGCTGCTTTTCCAAAACAAAACAAATAAACCAGTTCTGTTGTTTAGTTTACACTCCAGTTGTCTCTGGATGGAGCCCAAATCTGCAGGTCTGGGGTGGTAAACCATGAAGTCTATGAAAAGTGCAGCAAGGAAGCACCAAACATCTAGGAATCATCCAGAATGTTGCAGTCCTAGGAAGGACTAGAGATGGTCCAGCTTTTCCCTGGCCCAGTGGTGTTTATACCCTACAAGTCATGTTTTTGGAGTCTGAAGCGGGTGGAGGTAACGTCAACAGTGTATAAATATGGGCGTTGGAAAGTAAAATGCAATTGATGAGCAAAGCAAGAATCAAGTGGGAGGAACTCTGTGTTTGTTTCAAGCTGGGCAACGGTCCCATGAGTGAGGTCTTGCCCTGAGTAATATACTCCGATTGAACTGGTTTTAGTATTGGGTTGAAAAACTTCAAAGTTTTCAGTGGGAGATGCTAACTTCAAAGGGACGAAGCGTAAACAAAGGAACTTCGCCTCTGATGCTGCTGAACGTTACAAAAAGGAAGGTTGCGGCAGTCAGCAGCATGACATGTGTCATAAAAACAGCCCAGTTCTAAGTCTTTATGTGCACTACTCATCTCTCCTCAGCAACTCTGAGCATATATATTCATTTCTTTTCTTTATAGCTTCATATATTCCTCCTATTTACAAACCCCATTCTCTTCTAGCACTGATAACCTAGGTTGGTAATGAAACATCTGCAAGAAAGCCACCAACTCAGAGACCACCAAGGAATCCACAGTCCTTCTCCTTCTCCTTCTCCTCCTCCTCCTCCTCCTTTTAGGAAAAAAACATTTCAATAGCCTTCCACGATGTGAAAAACTGAAGTCATTTTTTTTGCTGATCTTATTGGGACAAATAGAAAGACATAACTTATTGTCGCTGTACAATAAAAAGTGCAGTTAATTAAAAACACATGTAAAAGAAGCAAGATAAACAATGTATTTATTTATAGAAATTAGAGGCCCTCAGACTCCACATAAAATTCTTGGCGGCTAAGAGAAAGAGAGGAGAGCTACTATAATATCTTCCTTTTTTCTATTTTCTTTTGTGTGTGTGGAGGTTTTGATATTTTTTAACAGTCCTCCTATTTTTTTCTTCAAACTTCACTCTAGGGTATTTTCATTTATAATATTACTTGCTTTCCCTTTTCATTAAACGTCTATGGAGATTCTCAGTCATGCAGGCCATGGCTGTCCCAAAAATACTTTTTCACGAGGCAACTGGACTTTCTTGTTTTTCCTTTGAAGATGCTTCGCTTCTCATGCAAGAATCTTCATTCATTCATTCATTCATTCATTCATTCATGAAGAAGCTTCTTGGATGAGAAGCGAAACGTCTTCAAAGGAAAAGCAAGAAAGTCCAGTTGCCTGGTGAAAAAGCATCTTTGAGTTCCCTTTTCATTGTTTTGCTTTTCTTTTTTTTGTTCTTGTTTTACCTAATTGAAACCATAAAATCAGGGAGGGGAAAAGATTGTGGCCAGCTTGCAACTTTAAAAGCAAAGAAGCAGGAGCAATTAAGAACACAAATTATACATGTTGGAAGAAAAGAGAGGCATCAGAGACAAAAATAAATAAATAAATAAAATCTACACCCACCCTAACCGAAGTCTCAGAGAACAGGCAGAATTTTAGCAACATTCTGAACTTAATGCGGGAAGAGCAAAAATGCCAAATCCAGTCTGAACATCTGGCTGACTGTGTGATGATCAATAATAAAAATAATAATAATAAAGTTGGAAGGGATCTTGGAGGTCATCTAATCCAACCCCCTGCTCAGGCAGAAAACCCTATACCATTTCGGACAGATGGCTGTCCAGTCTCTTCTTAAAAACTTCCGGTGTTGGAGCATTCACCGCTTCTGGAGGCAGGTTGTTCCACTGATTAATTGTTCTAACTGTCAGGAAGTTTCTCCTTAGTTCTAGGTTGCTTCTCTCCTTGATGCTGCCAGGTCGTTAAGTCTGAAAAAACGGTCCTAAGTCCCTTTTTTTTCAGTGCCATTGTTAACTTCGAATGGACGGTTGCAAGGTTGGAAGATCTGAAGAAGCAGATTTGGAAAAGATCATCCTGCTGAAAACCCATCTATGCGTTTGCTAAGACTCAACATCAATTCGATGGCACACACTCAGTCAATTTTGTAATTAAGATTGATTACGGCTTTTCCAATTCGGTCCAGCGGCAGATTTTGATTTTATTTGTGTATTTTTTTGTGTTGTAATGGTCTTGTTTGATCATTTTTGTATTTTTTTTTATTTTTTGCAGGATAGTGGGTGGCCCATCTCTTCCTTTTACAGTCAGCCTGCTTTCTCTTCCAATCCATTTCCAAGCCTGCACAAATGGTCTTTCTCACAGAAGCCTTTTAATGACATTATTTCAGGGAAATAATAAAAAAAAAAAAGCCTTTTAATGCAAATGAAAGAGGCGCTGAGAAAGATAAAATAAAGCTGCTGGGTTAAAAGGAGGCATGTGGCCGTCTATGTAACTCATCCATAAAAGGCAGAGTGAATTTGTTAGTACAGACTTACACCAGTTCATTTAGTGACCGTTCAAAGTTACAACGGCACTGAAAAAAGGGATTTACGACCGTTTTTCACACTTACGACCGTTGCAGCCTCCCCGGGGTCACGTGATCAAAATTCAGACACTTGGCAACTGACTCACCTTTACGACGGTTGCAGCGTTCCGGAATCACGTGATCCCCTTTTGCGACCTTCTGATGAGCAAAACTTCACAACCTTGTTACTAACTTAACAACTGCAGTGATTCACTTAAGAACCGTGGCAGGAAAGGTCACAAAATGGGGTGAAAGTCACTTAACAAACGGCTCGCTTAAGCACACACAGAAATTTTAAGCTCAGTTGTGGCCGTAAGGTGGAGGTCCACCTATATGTCGAAGACCATGTTAAGCCGCACGGAAGGATAGTTTGATAGCGCTTTATGATTGTGTTGATCGTGTTGCTTATCTCCATTTGTCAAAAAGCATCAGCAATTTCAGGGAGTGGAAATAGCGAGAGCAGAGAGTCCTTTCAAAGGGCAAAGACTTCAATTGGGAGTCAGCAAAGTTTATTGTTCTAATTTTATATGTGGTTTACGTGATTATTTTTTTAATGTTTAATATTGGAAATGACAATATTCCAGGGGACAAGTGATGATGCTACCCCAAACGCTGTTCCTTTTTTTTGTCTTTTTAAAAATAAAAACTTTTGGGAAAAAAGGGGGTGAAAGCATTTAAAATATTAAAAAAATAAAAAATATTAATAACGACCAATGCATAAGCCAGTGATTCTCAACCTTTTTAATGCCGCGACCCCCCAACCGGTCGTAAGTTGAGGACTACTCAACCGGTTGTAAGTCGAGGACTACTCAACTGGTGCAGCACCGTTTGCAGAATGGGACTTTTGGCGGGCTCAGCAGGGCAGAGACAGCCTGGACAATTCCTATTGGCTTTTGAAAGCCAATAGAATTAGAGAGAGTCTATTCTATTGGCTTTCAAAAGCCAATAGAATAAAAGGGAGTAGCACAGCTAAGGAAAAGTGGAAAAAATGGCGGACTGCATTGTTTGGCGACCCCCGTGAAATGGTCGTTCGACCCCAAATGGGGTCCCGACCCACAGGTTGAGAACCACTGGCATAAGCTGAAAGGTCCAAATCAAATCCTCACATGGAAGAACTGAGATGTTGTCAGCAGCAATTGAAGGTAAAACTGAGGGAGTGGGAGAGTCATATTAATTCTGTTGGCATTCATTGATGGGATGTATTTTTGTGCAACAACTACAGTGGTATTCAGCCAGTAGATGGCAGTGTTTACAAGTATGAATCTATGGTATACACTCTATATTCTTTTTCCCTAAGTAGAGTTTCCCATTTCCTATTACAATTAAAACAGTTGAGCAGTAAAGCACATGGTGACTGTACACTTTGTTTGATCTGTGGTGCAATACATATTCAGAATTTCTAATGAGTTTCCTTATTGCATATCTGTTTTCTTAGAAAGCTTGGATCACCTTACACTTCATTTTATGCCCTGGGAACAAGATTGAGCTGAGTGAAAAATAGCTGGCCCAGTAGCTGGTAAGTTGAGAGTCAAGTACCAATACAGATGGACTCAATTGTTGAGTCCAACATTTCTGTTGTTAAGTGAGACATTTTTAAGTGAGTTTTACCCCATTTTGCAACTTTTCTTGCCACAGTTATTAAGTGAATCACTGCATTTGATAAATTAGTAACCTGGTTGTTAAATAAATCTGGCTTCCCCATTGACTTTGCTTGTGAGAAGGTCTCAGAGGGGGATCATATGACCCTGGGATTCTGCAACCATCATAAATATGAACCAATGGCTAAGCATGTGAATGTTGATCACGTGATCACAAGGATGCTGCAAAGGTCATAACTGTAAAACGGTCATGTCACTTTTTTTTTTAGTGCTGTTGTAACTTTGAACGGTCATTAAACAAATTTTTGTAAGTAGAGGACCACCGTAGAGGAAAATATTTGTAGCTTAGAACTGAACTGTGGGGTCCTTGGTGCTTCCTGAGCTTGGTTGTTTTCTTGCAGATGTTTCATTCATGCAGATGTTTCATTCATTCATTACCTAGGTTGGGTAATGAAACATTTGCAAGAAAACAACCAAGCTCAGAGAGCACCAAGGACCCTTCACTGTGGATTTGGAACTGACAAGTAGCCCACTGAGATGAGGAAGAAGTCCACCCAAGTTTGTGAGACCAAAAGATCTTAAGACAATCTCCTAATCCAAGATAGCGACCCTTTAACTTGCTCAGCCACAGGACTGAGAAAGGCAAGCGTCGTTACGTGCATGGTCCACCTCTGGGAACAGTCTTGCTTTGGGTATCTTCAGGGATGCTGTAACCATGAGAACAGCACACTCAGCTCCCTATTGGCTGCCGGGCTTGGCGTCCTTAGCTCTGCTGCTTCCAACTCTAGGACTGCTTGTAGAACAGCCAGAGAGAGAGAGGTAGGAGAAGGACCAACTCTGCTCTTGGTCTCTCCTGGGTTTTCCATGGCCTTGTTCCAAGTTTGAGAAGGCAGTTGGGAGGCAGGGCCAAGATGCCGCCTTGATTATGTAAGAGCCTTCAACACGCATCAAAGGAGAACCGAGCTATCTCGCCCGCAGGTCAGAGACATCAACCTCTCCCTTTTGAAATCCAGCGAAGTCAGCTGTTTCCCATTCCACAGGCCATGCCGAGGCCCTGGCACTCGGGCAGACAGCTGGTGTGCTTTCTCTCCTTCCAGGCATGGCAAGTCTTACTCAGAGGTTCCGCCTGGGCCACTTATCCTCCCCCTTCCTTCCCTCCCTCCCTTGAGGAAAGCTGTCATGACTTTGCTAACGTGCAGGAATGCACGCACCCGCAGAGAAGTTTCTCCCAACCACATCCTGCCGTTAGCAACACATTTGTGGCCAGAAAGCTTTGCTCGGTGTTTTAGCCGCAGTGGCTAGAAGCCATGCCGGGACGCTTGCCAAATGTGCTTCTTGCTCAGATGTCCCAGTTAGCCTGAGATAAGAACTGCTGGCAACTTTAAGAAGGTTACTTCAGGGTCTTTCCCTTACAATCTCCCTCTGATCTTTCATGGGTCATTATATTTGTGCTCAGGAGCCATAGGTACCAGGCACCAGAGGGAGCTATGATACCCACAATCACTTTAACCCAATATATGCTGATTAGAGAGGAAGGTGCTCACATACATGGATAAGATTTTGAAGGATAAGGTCACTTTTATGACCAACACTGACATAATTAAAATGTATACAGACATACAGTATGTGTATGCTAGGTATGGCTGTGAAAGTTGGACCATAACAAAGGCTGAGCGCCAAAGAATTGAGGGCTTTGAACTATAGTGCTGGAGAAGACTCCTGCGAGTCCCCTGGACTGCAAGGCGATCAAACTGGTCAGTCCTAGAGGAGATCAACCCTGACTGCTTTTTAGAAGGCCAGATCCTGAAGTTGAAACTCAAGTATTTTGGTCACCTAATGAGAAGGAAGGACTCACTGGAGAAGAGCCTAATGCTGGGAAAGATGGAGGGCAAGAGAAGAAGTGACGTGGCTGGATGGAGTCACTGAAGCAGGAGGCATGAGCTTAAATGGGCTCCAGAAGATGGTAGAGGACAGGAAGGCCTGGAGGAACGTTGTCCATGGGGTCGCGATAGGTCGGATACGACTTCGCAACTAACAACAACAACAACAATCATTATCATCATCACTTTAGTAACGAATTTACCAGTTCCAAATTTGACTTCACATCCCCACCCCTTAAAAATATTGCCAGTCACCATCATCCTTCTGTAACATCTTTCTGACCCAGACAAGTCAAGTTAATTTATTTACTGCAGTCTAAATTTTTATTTACAGTTCCTTACTCCTGGCAAGAATTTTTCCACGAAGAGCCTGAAAAAAAAAAAAAAAGAGAGAGGAAAGGAGAAAGAGTCTTGAGGAAGACTCTTTGGTAGATATCTACCTGACAGATTAGATTGATCCACAAGGAATTTCTTCTCGATTTCCATAACGTGGTGCGTGTCTACTTAAATCATACTACAATTCTGAAAATCGAACATATAGTTCAGTGCAACCAGAAGCATGAAGATGGATAGACTCCTTCCTGCTCCTCTCCTCCTCCTCCTCCTCCTCCTCCTCCTCATGTTTTTTCTGTCATGATTGCTCTCCACTGTTGAGTCTTTACCCCTGGAGAAGATATGGCCAGCCAAAGGCATATTCCAAGGGAAACTGATTACCGATGCTCTACTTTTCCACGGGAGCCTTCTCACAGATTTACAACTCAGAGGAACCAACCAATTGCTCATTGCAGTTTTCCTTCCTTCTTGTTGCTTCCTAGGCTTTGATGTTGATTACCTGGGCAGGTATTAAACATGCAACGTGGTGCTGCTGCTTAGGAGCTGTGGTGCAGCAGAACTGGAGAAGTACAGGAATACAGAACTCAAGGCCCTGCAGACATTGTCCGACTCCCAATCTCTTGAGCAAGGCCCAGGTAGCAGAGCAATGGAAAATACAGCCAAGAACATCTGAAGGCTACAAATCTCAAATGCTTTCGAAACGGGGCGACATAATAAACTGGGAAATCAATGCACTTTGCCTTGAAAAAGAACTCTTTCCCCCCCCACTGAAAGCATGGGCTGATATAACCACACACCGATTCGTTTCATGCCAGTCCAGCAGGTGGCAGCACCCACCCAGCCTTGGGTGATCTTGAATCTAACATTACCACCTGTCCTTGTTAGTATTTGGATGGGAGACAAACAAGCAATCTCAGTGTTGGAGAAAGTTCCAGGAAGAAGGCAAGGACAAACCCCTTCTGAGACCTTCCCAACATGCCAGACTATTATATTCATATTGCAAGAAAGAGCTGCGTTTTGCCCAGGGGGCTTTGACTATATCTGGACCACCCTGGGCTGCTAAAGACACCGAGGCTTATTGCAAAGCTGAGAATGCTCACCGTCCCTCTGAAACTCCTTTGAGCGAAAGCCTAGTACAGAACGAATCTCGCTTGCTGCATGCCTGTTGCTCTGGCAGGTGAATTCCGTTCCCTGCAGGAGCCAGTTTTCCGCAGTCTGCAGCGAGGCTGCTCGAGTCAGTCCGAGAGAGAGTTTGCAGAGCTGCAAAGCGGCTGGCTCAAGGTCTCGCAAGGGTATTCTCCAGCGTCTTTCCTTAAGGCTGACATTGGGCCACCTGCTTTTTGAGCTGAAGGGCTGGGCTTGACAAGAGAGAGACAAGCCCAGCTGGAGGGCGTGTGGCTCGACAATCTCGCCCCTCCAAGAATGGAGGCTGATGTGCCACAGGATGCTGCAGCCAGAGCGGCCCTTTGCCACATTTTGCATCTATTAAAAAGTTGCATTTCGCGTCTATTAAAAAGTTGCATCTGCTCTACGTCTCTGGAGCCCTGTCGGTTGCCGGAGGGGGGGGGGAAACACAACTCGCAACTGGAACTTTTGTACCCTCTCAGAGTTGTTTGGTGTCCTGTTTTCCTAGAATTCCAAAGCTGTGGGCAGAGCAAGGAATGACTTTGGCTCAAACACTGAGTTTCTGGAAAACAAGCCAAGTTGTTCAGCAATCTGTTGGAACTGAAGAAGAGCCAATGACGGGATTTGCAAAGATCGCTCGAAAAGAAAAAAGAAGAAGAAGAAGACGGGGCCCCTTTTATGTTCTCCTCTTGAGATAGGCCAAAAGTGAAGCTAAGTGCTTAGATCATTGGAAAAAGAGGGACTGAACTGTTTCAACTAAAACTTATTTTTCTGTTTGGCAGGATTTTGCTCTTGACTTGCCAGAGTCTTCAGGAGGGGAGTGATAAAGTCAGTGCCCAGCCCTCCGCCCCAAGAATAGATGAGACAATTGTCCTCCTGGAACTAAGGGAGGGGTCCCCAACCAGGGGTTCCCCTGGGGGTGCGAGATAATATTCCAGGGGGTACAAAAACCTGGGTTTTCAAAATTATACTCTATATGCATAATTTGTTACCGTTATTTCGAACTTTTGTAAGGGGTGCAAGAATATATCAGAAGCGTTCAAGGGGTGCGGGGCATAGAAAAGGTTGGGAACCACTGAACTAAGGAGAAACTTCCTGACAATTGTTAATTGAGGACAATTAACCAGTGGAACAGCTTGCCACCAGAAATTGTGGGAGCTCCATCACTGGAGATTTTTAAGAAGAGACTAGATATTCACCTGCCTGAGACGGTACAGGTCAGGGATAGGCAACCTTGGCTCTTTCATGACTCGTGGACTTCAACTCCCAGAATTCCTGAGCCAGCATGGCTCAGCTTGGAACCTCTCCCTGTTCCCTCAGCATGGCTGGCTCAGGAATTCTGGGAGTTGAAGTCCACGAATCATAAAAAAACCAAGGTTGCCTACCCCTGGTCCAAGGAAAGAAATATTGGAGGCTCAATTAACAGTTTGTCTCATATTTCTCCGAGCCTTAAAACAACTCTAGTTGCAACCAGTATCTGGATAGGATGGATCTAAAGAGCTGGATGGGGAATTGTAAAACTACCAGTAGTCCTTGTCTAGCAACCACAGCTGAACTGGCAATTTGGTCGTTAAGCGAAAC